GCGTGGAATTAAAAACAACAAAAGTGAGTAGCCTATATGTTCTTTCAGACTATCCTCTACGTCTATGCCATATTTCATCAAGATCTGTTCAGGAGTTTAGGCTACAAACTCTAACATCCATCCATCCGTTTAAACTTTCGCATTTATAAGAAGTAAAAAAAAAAATTTCGGCTGTAATAACTTAAGGTAAGTTTACAATTGTTTATGACAGCTTTCGCCCGCGTGGAATAAAAAAAAACAAAAGCGAATAGTCTATGTGTTCTTCCAGACTATCCTCAACATCTATACCATATTTATTCGAAATCCGTTCTGCAGTTTTGACTACAAAGTCTAACAAACATCAATCCATCTAAACTTTCGCATTTATAATATTAGTATGATTTACAGTCTTTACCATGAAAATATGAGTAAATTTCCAACATGTAAAAAACAAACAGGACCTCAACTAGCTTAGAATTTTCTAATACCTATTTTTACATAGTTAATTTAACCCTGTTTTTTCACCGGCTATTAGTTATAACGAGCGTTCGGGGTAAGTTGATGATTTATCAGTCGGACAATTAGTTACTTAATTGAAAAATTAATTACTTACTAATAGCTTGCCGCAAAACCGACAACCTTCGTTTCACTATTCATTATTTTAAACTATGTAGGATTCCTCGTATTTCGATTACTTACATTGTAAGTACACTTACATAAACAAAACAGTAAAACTAACTAGCTTTCTCTAGCGATTACGTCCGCGTGGAATTAAAAAAAGCAAGTAGCCTATGTGTTCTCTTAGACTATGCTCTTCATCTTTGCCAGTACATCGAGATCTGTCCAGGCATTTACGCTATAAATTCTAACAAACATCCATCTTAACTTTTGCATTTATATTAGTAAGAAGTAAGATTGCTGCTCGCGACAATGCAGACGTTAACAATATTCTATTACGGATAAACTAAACTTTTTACCATCAATACAACCTTTATTTAAAAAGAAAAAACAAAAAACCCCTACTGACTAAAACATGCCCATAATTGTAAAATCAGGGAAAAAAAATTTCAAGTTTTTTTTTTTGAATAAATAAGCCATTATTTTCAAATGACACCTCATTCGTAAAAATCATTTAAGTTACATAAAATTAAACTTACATAAAAAAAACTACGAAACTACACGCGAACCATGTTTGTCAGTTGGATAATAAGTCTTCTATTGACTAGAGTAGATTCTCCTTTCCACTCCACTTGTAATTGTTTATTGATTGAAAGCTAAAAATCTGAGGGATTGACAACTTACTAACTCCTAACCCATCACGTGTGACTGTCAGCACGCATCAAGGTCACCATGTAAATAAAATTTAAAACAACATCCATACCCTTCGAGCGAGCCATAAAAACGGAATCAAGTTATTTTAAGCAGCCGTAAGTAATAAAATCCGCACGCTCATAACATGTGCAAAGTACCCAACCGCAGATTGTGTTGCTAAGCGACACGCCGAGTGTATTTTACAAAGTAAACAAAAAATAAATCATAATACTGTGACGGCGACTACATTAAGGCCAGGGTCGATGACCTTTTGATTAAACCTTCATTATGTGAATATGGTTTTCTAATGTGTGATTTGAAAATTAATATCAATGTGGCATAAAGGTGCTGATACATTGGACTGTATAAACTTACAAATTTAATTAAAAAAAAATTATTAAAATGCATGGCATACACATAGTAACAAGGAAAAAAAGTTTAGCCATGTATTAAACTATTATATTAAAATATGGGAAAACAAAGGAGTAGATTCAAATAATGAGGATAACAATTGTATTCCCAAACAAGAGGAAACAATAAAATATCAATTAGAACAAAAGTGCTATATCTTATTGTTTTCTCTCATAGTGTTAGAGTTTTTACGCTATTTTACAATTAATCCATTTTTGCATAAACTAGAATTGGATTTAGTTGCACCATATTACTAATTGTTGAATTAAATCTTATACTAAAACATATAGATAGGTGCTGTATACTATATTATATACTCCAGTGTAACCACACCTTAAGTCTTATACAATAATGCAACAATATAGCTTTCTGACACCACTAAGCGTAACATCAAACAATGTAGTTGCCAAAAAACGGTGCTAAGTGACCGCCCGCCGCACCTGGCATTGACGGAACGCCAAATGACAGAACATGTCATCATATTAACAGAATGAATAAATTAATGGGTAACTTTAACCATCACAATGTATAATTAAATTTATAGTTAACTAGCTGTCGCCCGCAACTCAGTCCGCGTCAAATTCAAAAATAATAAAACACAGTCTATGTTACTGACAACATAGTTTTTTAATGATGAAAGAATTTTTGAAATCGGCTCAGTAGTTTTTGAGTTATTTCATAACAATCAAACAAAGTTTTCTTCTTTATAATACTATAAATAATCTTTCTGATGGTGAAAGAAAATCGGTCCAGTGGTTTTTGAGTTATTTCAATACATACAAAAATACAAAGTTTTCCTCTTTATAATATTAGTACAGACTATGATATTCTGTACCTTAAGGCTTAATCTGTTTAGGTTTATTCATTTAAAGTTTTGTTTAGGCCACACCTTGTTTATACTAATATTATAAAGAGGAAAAATTTGTATTTACGTATTTATTGAAATAACTCAATAACTACTGGGCTGATTTCAAATATTTTTCCAGAATTAAAAGCTACATTATCAGTGAATAACAGACTACATTTATATTTTTTAATTTCACATGGACGAATTCGTGAGCAACAGCTAGTATTGTATTCAATTGATTTGGATTATTGAAGCATATCAATAATGTTAAATACATTAAAATTCAAGCAATTCATCATTACTGCCTACCCTAATTTGTTACAAACAGTACTAGAAAATCAGTTAATCCCTGAACTTAAGTTTAACTTCTTCAAATAAATACTTAATAATTTTCTAAATTTCATCATAAACATTGTGGTTTTGTCAACAATAGCAAGCTGATTTTAGCTAAGCATACCGCAGGTCATTGACCAATGCAGGCTGTGATAACATTATCACTCCACTCTGATACAGAGAAACAGCACTACTTGCCAATATACTATTAAAATATATTATGTATGTCATACATATATAGCATACTAATATTATAAATGCGAAAGTTTAGATGGATGGATAGATATTTGTTAAAGTTTGTAGCCTAACCGCTGAACAGATTTCTATGAAATTTGGTTATAGAGATGTAGAGGACATTCTGGAAGAACACATAGGGCACTTTCTTTTGTTTTTTATTCCACGCGGATGAAGACGCGGGCGAAAGCTACTATTAATATAAAGAGATATATTATACTAATAGAGATTTGTAATTAGTATTTTTGGATTTCTACATATATTAAAGTAAATCGAAAAGTACTGGGACGATTTTAAAAATTCTTCAAAAAGTTTCTTTAAAAGTTCGGATATATAGCTGTTTCCTACTGTTTATCACCGAAACAGCTTAACCAATCTGAATGAAATCTGGCACAGATAGGTCTCGAAGAAAATGTATGCTACTTTGTCATGATTTTGAAAAAAAAAATGTTTGTAAGATACAGGTTTCTTACCACACAATTGGGTTGTATGACCTCCTGATATTTCAGCACAGTTGCATGCACCGTGTTCACAAGTAGACTGAAGCCAAATGTGGTAAAAAGCCCTTGACTTACAAACATTATATTAACAAAAATGCTACATAGTTTTTTTAAATTCCTAGCAGATGAAGTCATGGGTAAAAGAAAGTACCATGAATTTTAATTATTTTATGTATAAACCTTTTCTCAACATTACTTAAGAAAACAAGTACAGCAATGTAGCAAAAGATGTTACAACAGGTTGATTGACAATGGAGACTCGCTATTATTTAGCAGTAAATACAAAAATGTACTATTGAAGTTTAGTGTAAATTTTAGATTTACCACACAACCACAATGGTGTACCAATTGTCCTTTATCTGTGTGTCCACTCCTCTGCCTTAAAGGTAAGCTAATTATTTGCAAATGCAAAATCTATGGATAGCTTCTGCTTCATTACATTTGTGAATTATGGATGGCAGAGGAATATTGGTTTTAACTCGGCCTGTGTCTAATTTTATTCATACAAATGATTTTTATAGTAACTACAGATTGATAATGTTCCTCTAACAATATCAAAAATAAATTTACTATTAAATTGACTGTCAATATGAACTTAACCTTCATGAGGCATGATTTATTACAATATTGGAACTATTTATTAAAAACTATTGTACAGAATTATAATAAACATGTTCAATCAAGGCCTACAATAAGGAAATAAATCTTATAACCATTATAATAATTCTATGTTCATAGTTCAGTTTGAACACTTTGAATAATTTCAAATTCAGTCTATAAGGGATCTTATATATCAAAATATACTGTATATAGCTAATAAAGCATATCAGACATTCTTTACTATGATAATCAAACAGTTCATGTGTCTTAGAATCATGTTATATCCTAAGTCTATAGAGATATGTGCTAGGGCCACTGTTGCTATGCAAGATAATGGAGTTGAATATTATCTATGCTTGTACTGGAAGCACTAGCCTTGTCTATTTACGTTATTCGATGGATAAAGTGCCAATATTAGAGCTAAACACTACATACAAGAACATAAAATTTCATTACAATTTGTCGCATTTATAGGTTATTAATCTGAGAGTGAAAAATTGAGCGCAATTTGATTGTTTTAAGACGCGTTATAACCTCAAAAACAGACTAAATCGTCGAATAGTTTACGCCGAGGCGACGTGCACGCTATATTTCTATGTGCCCTTGAACAATTTAAGGATGCTCGAGACAGGTTATCAGGCTTCGCCGCAATTTTGCTGAGTAAATATCGTCACCAAAGCCCTAACGAATGCATTGACAAATAGTACAGGTAGCAACTCACCGATTCGAAGATAAAGATAGCGTTAAAAAATCTCACACATCACTAGAAACACAAAAAAGGATACATGCTAAGTCCAAATTGAAGCCGTTCTTTGTGTAGCGTTTCCGCTGTTTGCTGACGATGACCTTGAAGGGGTTATTCATCTTGATGCTTGAGATGGAGTTTGCCATGGCTGGCAGGTCGGCGCGCCGTGGCAGCAGTTCGGCCGCCGCCGCGCCCTTCGCGGGTCCTCGCGGCACCCAACCCTTTTCGGGTGCCTTCCTTTCGCGGCGCCGGCAGCTCACACAAATACCCATAAAACCTCCGCCGCGCCGAGCATGCCCCGCTCATCGGGCCGGCGGCGGAGCGCGAGCGGACGCCGCTCCCGCCCGCTAACTTGCGCCCGCCATGCCCAGCCGATCGCCGAGCGCCTTCACCGACCTCCCTAGCTCCCGACCTCCCAACCTCCTCGTCGCACTGAGACCACCCTGACGCACCAGACACTATAGCATACTCCCGGCACTTCACGCGCAACACTATCTACACGGCAGGAGTGGAAATTATCTCGCGCGAATGGCGTCCATCCTGCATTAACACTAGATCATAGAACACGACCGACGAGGAACAGTTGCACAAGAAAGAAAGATGGTTATGAATTGATGGCCGAAAGTGCAGAAGGCGTCCCATTCGCGCTCGACCCGTACGCGCTCGTCGGACAGAGATAAAACACAACCTTAATTTCTAGTAGCGGCTAGCTAGCTCTCTTTGTTCACTGTGGATTTAACTTTCCATTTTTCAACGCAAGGTGGCGTGATCATTGCATATGATTGGCGCGAATATTTAAAATTGGAAAGACAGATTTTTGTTTGAGATTTTTGATGTTATCAAAGTTTTACAGTTATATTTAACCTTTGATGAAAGGCTAACGCTTGAAGGTATTTAATGCAAATTAGATTTTGTTTATATTTTAACTTAAATCACAAGCAAGATAAAAAAAATTAACAAGTGTTGCACGTTTTCTATACAATATAGATGGCGTTGTTTTAATCAAACTGTTTTACCCACATATGTTTTCGTTCTGAAACCTTAATATGGAATGTCAAACCAAAATGTATTGAATTATAAAAACAAAAAATATTTATGAAATTGGAACTTGATAAGAAGATGCAATTAATTTATATTTAATAAAAAAAAAACTTTAACAAAAACACGAACCAAGGAAAACGCACCCGAACATTTTCCCTTCTCCTCTTTCTTCCTTTTTTCTCTCTCAAGATGCGGCTCGTTTATGCTATAATAATGCTTTCTGTCCTTCAAGCTTAACAGATCTATCATTTCTCAATTTGTTAGAGTAATAAAATAAACGGATAATAGAGAGGTAGGTCGTTAAACACAATTTACGTAAACTCTACATTTTATATACTTGGCCGTGCATACAATTTCTATTTATATGTAGTTGCCTTAGATATAGTTTCAATGATCAATGACAACTGCTCCAGAGGAACAGAAACTCTTCTAGAACAGAAGGGATGTACATTTAGATTATCCAAATCATCATCTTTCTCCTTATCCCACTTCCGTAAGGTCGGCGCAACAAGTTTTGTGCTCCACAAAATATTATCTAAATAAACGGTTTTATTATTTAGGACAGGAAAACGAAACCCTGTTCTATATAAACCTTTCCATGGATTAGGAACACATCGGGAACCAGCAAACATTGATTTTTATTTATATTAGAGGACAGATGTATTGACGCAATCATCTGACTAAATATTTATCCTCTAATTACCACACCCACTTTATAAGCCGCGCCAATTTGCACTCTGTTGTGCTTATTGCTTACGTTTTCAATTATTCAGGTTATTAACTTACTGCTTGCAAAGTCTACCAGTATCTATTTAAGATATTCATTTTATTTTAACCACTCCTTTTTTAGTACTTCCCCTATTTGTCCCATCCCCTGCCATATCTTTAATAAATATTAATTTTAAAGCCATATTTGAACGACTGGCTTCATTACAATATTCCTTATCGAAGCAAAAGAGGGTCAACATATAAATTTATTCACACTATCGTTTTGATGTTATCAGCATTCTTTTGAGACCGCTTGCCGCCAATGAGGTTACACAATTCCTTTAGTTGCTGAAAACTGATACCTATGTGTTACGTATCATATTGTAATGATTTACAAAACGCTGCCGTCGTTGCTACGTCAGGGATATTAACAAACGACGAGTGTAGTTTTAGAAAAGTGGCGTCAAATAACTAATTCAGTAATTTGGGTTATGTAATAAGTGTCGAATTAGCGTGTAATGTTCTCGTTTAAAAGTTACTTAAAATAACTTGTTTCAGTTTACTTTGTTAAAATAATTTTTTTACGTGTGTTGCCACCTTTTGCTTTATCGTTAACCTCAACAGAAGAAACTAAGAACACATCTTGTTTCACGGGACTATTCTATACTTTAAAATATCGAGATTTCGAATACTTAAGGCTTTTAATGCAAAAATATATTTTAACAGTCGCACATAACCTCTATGTTGCATGAGAAACGCGCGTTCGTTGCGTGTGTCGAATTTGTACAAGATATTATCGATAAAGTAATCAGCTGATAAGCTTGGCAGACGCGTCTGATAATGTGCTTGGCAACTAATTACATTCCCGCCATTTCTATAAATGTATAAACTTAAAAAAAAAATGTAAATACATTTGAATCATGTAATAAAAAAATGCCATCAAGCTATTCATCTAAGGACCGAATATTGGAAAATTTTAATACGTAACAGCGTCTTATAGCCTTCCATTACAATTTTGACGTCTGTCAAATAATACTTGCCTTAAAAAGCGACGTGTTAAGATTTGTTTGACTATTTTGCCGCGATTTACTTCAGCAAAAAATTCAAAATCCATTAAATTCGAGCATAGACAATATTTAAATAAAACAAAATTTTTATTATAAAAAGTTTATTTCAAAACTTAAGTTTAGATTCGTGTAAAGTCAATATTTTATCAACTTCTGAGGCTCGTTCTTTCAATGTTGCCATTTCATCTTCACTTAGTATAGTACTCTTTTTGCCTGCGTTCTTAATAAGGAAATGCTGTATAAATAGCCGTAGGCTTTCACGGAACATGTGGAGCTTCGGAGACTTGGATATCCTGTGGAACACCTCGAGAGACAGCTGGAGATCAGCGTTCATGATCACAGCTAATAGAATCTGACGCATGAAGCGCACTGACTTCTTGTTAAGATCAGAAAATTGTATTATCTGTGGAAAAAATAATTATCACAAAATGAACACGTAAAAATCTGAAAGTGTTAAGAATGAATGTGGATGGCTACAAAGGAAGAGGAAGACCGAAGAAAGTATGGATGGATTGTGTGAAAGAGGATATGCTTAAGAAAGGAGTGGATTCAGATATGACGGCTGATAGAGATGTATGGAAGAGCAGCACATACTGTGCCGATAAAAGGGATAGGGGCAAGTTGATGAAGATGATGAACACGTAATTTAATTTATTAATGGGAAAACTAGCGTCTTTCAGTTTGAAAAAAAACTCTTAGGGCCTGTCCCACCACTGGCTGATAGAGGATCAGATAGGTTAAAAATGACGTCACTGTCAGATAAGGTTACAAAATACATATTTCCATCTCGTTATACATAGGATTGTTATAACAATTTATAACTTGGTGCGAAAGGCCCTTATTTTTTTATGCTTTGTTCACATTAAGCTAGTAGTTTAGTCGAATACATTTAGTAACTAAATTACTACCCTTGTTACTATTGTCGCAGTACACAAATAGTGTTATGCAAAATCAATTTTAACGTAATAAATTCGATTAAAAAAAGGAGTTTCATAGTTATTTAGCAAATAATTAACGCGTTACACTTTGCCGATTAATAAAACAAAATTTACTGGACTAAATAATTTGCTGTGATTGAAGTAAATTTTCGTTTTTCTGACATATTTAGTTAAAATAGCCTAATTCGAGAACCGCTTTATTTATGTTACATTCTGTCTTTTTGTACCGACTTCCCAAAAGGAGGTACTCAATTCGTCTGTATGTTTTTATGTGTGTTACGGCGTAACTCCGCCGCTAGTGGACCGATCTTAATAATTCTTTTTTTATCCGAAAGGTAATGCAGGTGGGTCCCATTTTTTGATTGATTTTTTGTTAACAATCCCAATACTTACACTTAAGTGAACTTTAAGTTCTGTATGTTTACCTTAAGTATAGATAAGGGTAAAGCCTTCTCCATGATCAAGTGTACGAGAAGCTGCGCCAAGTTGGTCAGCACTTGCTTACTGGCCGACTCCAGCTCCTTAATCTTATCCCATATTGAGAACTGGAATGCCAACTGAAATATAAGAAATTCTATCATTTAGAATATCACTAGCTTTCGCTCGCGACTCCGTCCGCGTGGAATAAAAAAAAATAAGTAGTCTATTCGCGCTTCCAAACTATGCTTTACTTCTATGAAAAATTAAATTTAGATCGGTTTATTAGTTTTGGATACAAAAATATATCAACAAATATCTATTTAAACGTTCACATTTTTAATATTAGTAACATATACTAGCTTTTCCCGTGCGGTTTCATCCGCATCGTGTTACAAAAAATTTATTTCAACAGTCTGGAAAATTCGAATTAGAAATGTCAAAATTCAAATATTCAAATGACAGGTTCTTGTATTGGCTGAAAAAATAAAGGCAACTTTTGTTGCTATTAGCTGTAGTTTTTGACTATTTCTCGTGGAGTAATCATTTACGATTTAGTCATGCCTTAAGTTTCTCGGTCTGTCCTGCTTCTCTCTTTCTGGTTCTATCCGTACTAGATTACTGAGTATTTTTTTAATGTACCATCTTTTTACTATGAAAAGGGGGGATATAATATAAGAGTGTTTCGTGTGTGGCTTTTATTACCCATTTTTTTTAATTGCACCTAAAGTCGCCAAAAAAGCGAATTGACCAGGTGCCTACTCTTAGTCAACAGAGAAGATTAGTCCAAAGAAAAGGGAGTAATGACCTGGTAGTGCCTGTGGCAGCGGCAGAGC